AAGGAAGGAAGGAAGGAAGGAAGGAAGGAAGGAAGGAAGGAAGGAAGAGAGGGAGAGAGGGAGGAAGGAAGGGAAGGAGGGAAGAAGGAAGAAAGGAAGGAAGGAAGGAAGGGAGAGAGGGAGAGAGGGAGGAAGGAAGGGAAGGAGGGAAGAAGGAAGAAAGGAAGGAAGGAAGGAAGGAAGGAAGGAAGGAAGGAAGGAAGGAAGGAAGGAAGGAAGGGAGGAAGGAAGGGAGGAAGGAAGTAATAGGAGGTGGCTGCTTCCAAGGGTGAGAGACTCATCTGACCCACAGAAGGACAGAGGGGTACCCATCCCCCTCCTGTCCTGGGCCTGTCCACACCTCCTCCAACTTGCACCTGGCCCAACTCCGCCCCCATCTCAGTCTGGCAGATGAGCAGGCAGCTCTTTCCCCTGCACCCCCCACCCCCTCTCAGAACGGAAGTTTTGTCCACTTGTGCCCAAGTCCGAGCTGGCCAACCAGACTGGTGGGCAGGCAGGCTCCTTCACACCAGCAGGAGCTGGGTACTCACATGTCTTACAACAACCGTTAGGCTTCAGCTTAATCGTGCCCTAGGAAAGAAGGTAAGAAATCATACATGACACCCCCGAAGAGCCAAGAACAGAGTTCCCACTTCTATGCCTTAAGGGGTCTGGGGGGTCCTTTGAAGGAGCAGGGGGTCTTTCCCCTGGAGGGGAACCTGGGAGCCGAGTGGTGTAAAGGAAGAATGAGGCTCCTTCTGCTTGGCCCTGGAAGACAGAGGTCCCTTCTGATGCCGAGATTCTGTGATGGTTCACCCAGGAAGTGACCAGAGCAGCCGGAAGGTCAGGTTCTCATCCGCCTAGACCGGGTCCTCCCTCGAGCATCCCCAGCCAAGGCAAGGGAGGGTCTGAGCCCCCGCGAGCAGCCAGTGCTCTACCTCCCTTCCTACCTCAGCACTTGGAAAGGGAGCTCTGCGGAAGGGGGCAGCTGGGCCTGGGGCCAGGGGCACTCACAGGCTGGCAGGATCCCAAGTCCAGGTCAGGACAAGTGATGTTTGAGACAGACGAGATGAGCTGGTCTTGAAGCTTCATGCAGCTGTAGATGGTGCAGTTGTCCTGAGGGTCACTCTTCATCTCACCAGGCTGTATGGGCAGAAAGGAGAGGAGGAGGAAACGATAGAGGGGAGGGGAGGATCAGAGAGGAGAGGAGGAAAGAGACAGAGGGGAGGGGAAGGGGAGGGACAGAGGGAAGGGGGAGGGGAGGAGAGGGGGTTAGGGAAGAGATTCAGTCTGGCTGCCAGCTTTGTTCACATTCCCTTCCACCTAGAGCTTTGCTGCACATTTGCCAAGCCCGTGATAATGGGTCCTGGGGGGGTCCATACTGACCTGGAGAAGCATGAGGCTGCCAGTCTGGTACATCACACACTGGGTCTGCTTGCACGTGGGACAGCACTGGTCTGGCACTTTCACAGGTTCAAACCCCTAGGAAAGGCCCAACACAGAGCATGGGGATCTGGCCCACAACCCATGGGCAATGTAACAGGCACAGGTCCCCCTCCAAGTCCAGTTACTCTCCTCTCTCGCATTCCCAGGCTTGAGGAAAAAGGAGCTCTGATTTATCCAGTAAGGTCTGTGAGGTAAGAGGTACAGGTACTATCCTCCCCATTTTACAGATGAGGAAACCGAGGCTCAGAGATACGGAATGCCTTGCCTGGACTTACACAGGTAGAAAGAATCAGAACTGAGATTGAAATCAAATCTCAGGCTGAAACTTCCATTCCACAGTCTTTGTACTGTACTAACAACCCAGGCTGGAGGGCAATGAACCCGGAGCCCAGGCTCAAAGTTAGATTTGGAACACATAGGCTTTCACACATGAAAAGCTGGGAGGAGGGAGGGGGTAGAAAACTAGTCAGGAAATGAAGTCCAAGGGAAGAAACTGGCTTAACATTTGTGGATGGCCCAGTGAGCTCAGACCCCCACGTCCGGGCTCAAGGTTGGATGTCCTAAGTCAAATACAGAAATTGTTCCCAGAGAAACACAGGGCGCCGGAAAAGCAGAGAAAAGCACAATGCCAGGTCTGCTTCCCTGGCAGAAAAGGTCCAGGGGCTTGGGAGGAGCACCAGCACAGGTCAGGAAACCCCTGGCTTGGCAGGAAGCCCCCCACCCACCCCCGGCTGCTGACACTCACAGGTTTGCAAGAGATGTTGCAGGGCACGTGGCTGCAGGAAATGATATTCAGGTGAGTGGAGGCATTGACCATCTCAGTACAAATACATTCTCTGCATTTGTCAGAGTACACTGGAGATCCTGGCTGTGAGGGAAAGAAGTAAAGAGGGGGAGGGGGAGAGGGAGCTGTGAGCCACACCCCCACTGATACCATGTCTAGCCCCCTCAAGCGCACAGTCAGGGCTGAAGGGGAACTTGCCTCTCGGCTGAGCTGGGGCTCCCAGCCCCACCCCCCTGTGCACCCTGCTTCCCCACCTGAGGTGGCCTGCCCTGTCCATGGCCAGGGATACTGGAGAGCTCACCTTGTATTCAGCCTGGCCCAGGACACAAACACCCTTGGGCTCTAGAGGAAGGAAGGAAAAGAGCTTGTCAGAACACATTGTTCGCAGTGCTTGGTTGATGGGTTCCAGCCCACCGCGACCCCCCTTCCTCTTAGCTAATAATACTCCAAGTCAAGTCTAGAAGGAACTGGTGCCAGGTTTCTGTTTCCTGAGCTCCCCATTCACGGGCATTCGACAGTGCCCTCCAGCACCTCCAACCCCAAATGGGGTAGATACTGATGACTCGGGGAGACTGGTGGTCAAACTGCTTCCAGTTCCTTCCATCTCCAAACCATTGGACCAGGGCGGCCTGTCGGCCCTGAGGTCTACAACGACCAGACTCTACCCGGAGCACTTGGCCTGGATCTCTCCTCTGCCCCAGCCGCTCCCCGGCTCTATCAATGGGGCAGGGACCCTCCCTAGGGGCAGACCTTGTTGGGTTTTTGTCTCCAGGTCACCAGTACCTAGCCAGGGCCTGGAGAAATGCTTGTTGTATTGAAATACATTAAATGTTGTCCGACTGTTGTAAAGTGGGGAGGGAGATGGGTCACTGGGCCCACCAATTCTGCCTACCCTCAGTGGCCTTCTGTCATTAGATCTCAACAGTGGCCATGTCCCTCCACAGATGTCATCATCTCAAGTCCCTGAGCCAGAATGGCCCCAGCACCTGCCCGATCCTTCGCCAGAGGTCCCCCGGGAGCAGAGGCAAGGCTGCCTTGCTCAGCATCTCTCGAGCAACTGGTATAGCCAGTACAGCTGGAAAGCAGCAGAGACGGGGTCCTCTCTCCCCTATTCTGCCTCCAGCAGGTCCTGGTGAGGAAGACTTACCACAAGAGTGGACAGGGCAGCACTTGCCAGGGACAAGCTGCGTCTTTAGCTCGAATCCCACAGAGCACACGGGCAGCTCAGTTTGGCATAGGCTCGAATTGCATTCTGTGAGGGCAGAAAGAAATTCAGGAGAAAGGTGGAAATGGCCCTGGCAGGAAGGAGCAGGGAGCCCCGCCTCAAGGGCTCCTCCATGTCAGGGTGCCCACCCTCTCCAACCTTACGCCCAGCACTGCCACAGAACAAGGATGCCTAACCTCATCTGCCCAGACAGAGCCACTGAGGCTGGACCAGCCCTGAGCAGAGCCTCTGGCTCACCCCAGGGTTGGGGCAAGCCCCTTGGCATTGGGGATCCAATGGGCATGGAGCTGACAACCTTAAGAGGTAGAAGGCATTGCCTCATTTGGCTTCGAATGGGGCTCCATGCCAAGAGGTCCACCAGCCCTCACAGTCCCTCCCCTCTTGGCAGCTCTTTCCTGTGCTCAGCTCAGTCAGGTGTTTCTAGAGGTCATGCCCTGTGAGAGCAGGGCTCTGAGAAATGGCACCTAAAGGGAAGTCACATGTGTGTTCACAGGACCCTGTGCTTTTTAGCGTGCCATGGTGAACAGGGCATCCTGCTACCGGGAGCCCCAGAGTAAGGCGCCAGGGGACCTGGGCTCAAGTTCTGACTCTGACAGTCTTTCACTTCTGATGTTTACCGTCCTTCTCCATAAAATAGGGATGAAGATTTGTGTTACAGCTACTTCTGAGGGCTGGTTTGCAAAACATGCTTTCTATCAAGGGCAGTGCTCTGGCTATCCACTCCACAGGAAGGGTTCGAGGAAGCCGAGCACATCCCCAGGGTGAGGTACATGTGGTAAGCTCCCCAGGCCCCAGGGGAGGGATCCAGACCCTGGGGGGGGGGGGGGGAGTTACTGTCCATCCCCAGACCCTCAGCAAGCTCCCTAGGACCT